TCTCCCATAATGAAAATTAACAAAAGGAAATAAAAAGTGAAAAGTTACCATCTCATAGTATATGATTTCTTCATCTGAACTCCTCTAGCATTGTTCTCTCTCGTTTGTTAAGAACTTACTCTGTCAGACACTGTGCTAAGCACTGGAAATTAAAAAACCAAAAAAAAAAGCACTACCTGGGCTTGAGCAACTTACATTCTAATGGAAGAGACAACTTTTACATAAATAGATAATATAAGAATCAGAGTAGATAGAAAGTAGCTTTATAAGGAAGACACTAGCAGCATGGAGTCCTGAGATGGAAAGTAAGGTGTGAGTAACAGTAAGTAGATTAGAATGGGTGAAATATAGAGTACAGTAGGGTAGTAATGTATAAGAAAGGCAGGAAGTGAAATAGGTGTAAAAAGCTTCGATTAACATTCTAGAGATAACAGGGAGCCACTGAAATTTAGTAAGTAGGAGTATGAAATGTTTTAGTAAAATCATTTTGGCAGCTAGGCTGAGAATGAGTTAGGAAAGACTTGAGGCAAGCTGGTCAAGTAAAAGATGATTATAAGAATCTAATCTAGATGTGATAAGGGCCTGAACTAGGGTGGTGTCTGTGTGTGCCTGAAAAGAAAGGGACATATTAAAAACATGGGGTAGATAGTCATTCAGAAGGAAGGAGTGAGGAGCATAATAATCCTTGACCACACTGGTTTGAGAAGTTGGCTTTCTAATGTTAGCAGAGCTGGACTTTCTGACTCATCCCTCAACAAGGGACACCTCCATTGTTCTTCAGATCTAACATAAAACTAATATGACACCAGATATAAGATTGTCTTCTACACTCAAATGTTGCTAAAGAATAGGTCCTATAATACAGTGTTAAAAGTTATGTTAACTCAGTATCCCATTGTTCCCAGCCCTGCTTATCAATCAGTGTTGGGTAAAGCTCTGGTGGGGACAGAGACATCAAGTGTGCAGTTTTGTTTTGCTTTGTTTTTGTTTTTGTTTTTGTTTTTGTATTTTGCCTGCTCCTGGTTTTGTACCCTGTCTACAAACTGTCATGTTTTTGCTACCTTGGGGAGGAACTGAGACACAGGGGGGGCTCTTCCTAACTTCTTCTGCTGAGGTGGACCTATCTGAATTGTCTAAAGTTACTTATACAAGCTGTCCCCACCTTAAAGCCATTGCTGATCTTCAATGATCAGCCTGTCAGTGTGTTGCTACCCAGATGTACTTATAATAAACTCCTTTTAATTCTTTTTGCCCTGAGTTTTGCCTCCTTAATCAGGGAGAAAACCCTAAATGAAGAATTTTTGCTTTCAACAAAAAGAAGTTCATTTCATAACAATACTGACAAGGGAGGTGTGTGTGTGGTTACAGTGTCCTCTTGAAAGCATTCACTTAGATTGTCTCCAAGTCAAGTAAAGACATTTATTGGGGGTGACACACCCAGTGGCCTCTGTTCCTTATGGGAGACAGAGCCCTAAGCCATGCATTGTGTGTGGTCTATATACAGTTTAACCGGGAAGTGGGAGGGAGGGAGCTACTACAATTTAAGAAAATGAGAGTGAAAAGCAAACAAAAAAGGAGGGGGTGGGGAGAGCAAGAAAGCATGTCACATAGTCTGGAGTGTCTTTGTGAATGCATAAGGACAAGCAAGGGGAACAAGAAAAGGGTTAGAGAAAGAGCTGTTCAGGAATATCAGGTAGCTCGGGGTGCTTTGTAAATGCATACAGATAAGCCCATGGTGGGGGGCTTCAATACATAATATTCTTAAGGTCAGTTGTGATCTGTGAGCACTTTTTGACTGGTCACATGTTGCATTCTATCTCACATCTCACATCCCACATCCTGTTTGTTCCTTCTACCTTGATCACTCCTATCTACCTTATCAATTACTAGATTGAAAATAGTCATGAGATTTTTAAAATTTCCTCTTGTTAGTCATTATTATTTGGAGTTCAGGAGCATCTTTCCTATGTATGAGGTTATTTGGCTAGTTGAAACCTATCTCATGGGATATTAACATTTAGTGAAAACCCTCAGACATTCCTGACATAAGAAACCAAAAGAGAAGATAGGCTTCCCAAATAATTTGAAATGCTTTATTTGTGGAAGGATCCCAACCAGCTCCTACCCTGTGGTTATCTTTTAACATGTGAATTTCTCCTCTCAATTAGGCCATTTTAAAATCTAAGTAATACCAGCCTTGCCTTGAAAAGTAATTCTCTTAAATTTATCTCCATAAAATTTTGTTTCTCCTTCCCCAGTTAATGTGTGAGAATCTATCTCCTTTCTGAAGGCTACAAAAAAAAAGTATCCCCTGATGTAATTGGAAATTATATAAGTTTTGTTAGAACCCTAATCTGGGTTCAGAGTTATTTTTCTGAGCTCTGAACCTGTGCTTAATGCATAATAAAACATCTGTAATCTCTTCATGGGGATAGTGTTATTTAGCAGCATTACCTGTCAAAACAACTCAGAGGAATCATCTTCTGTTCAGATCCTTTCTGGTAGATAGACCATTGGAACAAAGTATTCTCATCCATCCATTCCATGGGGGACATCTTTACATTATTGGGGTAGACATCTCCCTAAATCACTGAGGGTTTTGAGGCCTATCAGTTACCTTCTGATTTAGCCTCAACAGTTTTATCGGGGTGTGATTGTTGTGCATGCAACAGCTTCTTGGAGCCAGAGTTGAGAATGGGGGTGTCAAACTCAGCTGACTGAATCTGACCTAGTGCTCATTTCCAGACCCGAGAATTGCCTGAGACTGACCAGACATTATCACTCCCAGCCTCTGATTAATTTTGTAAATGTCCCAAACTCTCCCCTTGAGATTCCCAAGCTTTCTCTATAGACTTTTGCTTGTTATATAAAACAACTTACATTGTGAAACTGTGAGAAGCCCCTAACTCCTCCCACCTGCAGCTTGGCCATCCCCCCTGCCATAGCACCCTATATAAACCCTGTTCCCAGCCCCACCTCATCCCGCTTTGATACCTTTGCTGTGTGGTATGTGGAGCTGCAACTTACGTGCCCTGGTTAAAAACCTCAGTTTTGCAGTATTGACTGTTTTCTCTTGAATTCAGGTTGACAGGTGAAAGGTAGACACCAAAGGTGGATAAGCAACCCTGGAAAGGGCTCAGCAAGTCCTCAGACCAGAGGTGCTAGTCCTTCTTGAACACTTGAAGGTGGCTGGAGCAGGTGCTATGGAATGCTTAGAGTTTGGTGAGACATTAAAGATGCATACTGTACTATCTCCAGTTATCCTGACTTTTGTCTTGCTACTGAACTTCAATGACTCTGGAAGAGAATAAGGCTGGCAGCTCTGCCTCACTTAAATCCATCCCATTATTTCCTTGGTCTTCAAAATGAAGGAGGAACAACTATGCGGAAGGAGATGTAGGTGGGTCTGTTTTCAGTTCCCTCTGGGTCTGTCCTGATTATCATTAAGAAAAACAAATGAAGAAACCCTCATCTCCCTTCCTTTCCATTTTACTTTCCTGCCCTTTTTCTCCTCTCACTTCCTTTCCCCTCCACTTTCTTTCTTCCCCCCCCATCTCCCTTACCCTCTCCTCCTCTCTTCTTAAAAAATGAGTGCCTTTGTAGCCACATGTCAAGGTAGGCCCAATGAGGCCAACTAGTTCCATCTTACTTACAGGACTGCTTGTGTGTCTTTACCATTAGAGGGAAGGGGAAGAGAATAAGCAATTATATAATGCCTATTCTGTGCCAGGTACTATGCTAAGTGTTTTTTTGTTTGTTTTTTGTTTGTTTGTTTTTTTGTTGTTACCAAAATTATCTCATTTGATGCTGACAACAACCCTATGAAGTAGGTACTATTATCCCCATTTTGCAGATGAGGAAACAGAGGCACACCGAGGTCAAGTGACTTGTATAAGATCACACAGCTAACAAGTATCTGAGGCTAGAGTTGAACTTTTGACTGCACAAATAAAAAAGTGATGGAATTTGAGACAATAGTTAATATTCATATAGCATATATACATAAATATACATGTATACATATATATGCTATATGATTATTATATAGGCTTGCCAAGTACATTACATATATTGTCTTCTTCGACTGTCATATCAACCTTATGAGATAAATGCTATTATTATTCTCCATTTACAGATGAGGAAACTAAAGCTGAGAAAGGTTAAGTGACTTGTCCAGGGTCATGACAGTGTTTAAAGCAGGATTTGAACACTGGTCTTTCTAAAGCCCAGTTCAACATTCTATCCACTATACCATGGTAACAAAACACACACACACACACACACACACACATACACACACACACACAAAACCTAGATCAAGAATTTAAACTATAACTGGGTAAGAAATACAAGTCGGTAGGTGCTAGGCCTGACTTAAAGAACAGGATAGCAAACCATATGACAATTCATATCAGGCAATGCATTTCTTTCTCAATTGTTTGGGAGCTGCTATCCAAATCTAACAATGCAGTTTGAAAACACTTATAAATGATTGCCAAGATATGAAGTAGAAGGCTATCACAGGAAACCAAAATATTAGACCTGAATTACAATGCAGCATAGAATTCTCCACTGTGACTTTCATTTGTACTAGAATCTTGCTATAATTCTATTTACTGTAGAGTTAATTTTTTAAATTAGTTTTATTTTCTTATTACAGACATCTGTTTTCTCTCTCTACTTAGCCCATTGTAAAAAGAGAAAAAAAGAAAAGCAAATTCCATCTAACTACTATACTTAATTAAGCAAAATAAATTCCCTCACTGGTCATATTCAAAAATCAATTCTCTGTCAAGAGGTGATAAGCATTCATTATTGGGCCTCAGGAATCTTGGATGATTAATGTGTCTATCCATAGTTCTCACAGCTTTCAAAGTTGTTTGTTTTTACAGAGTTGTTCTCCTCCTGATGCTGTTCATTTCATTCTAAATCATTTCATGAGTCCTCAAAATTGCTCATTTTTTTTAATATTTGGTGCTATAGCATAAATTGGTCTTCTGGCTCTCCCTTTGGCAGCACGTATGATAAAATTGGAATGATACAGAGAAGATTAGCAAGGCCCCCTGGGCAAGAATGACATGCAAATTCCTGAAGCATTCCATATTCAAAATAAATAAATAAATAAATTATTCTTCTGTTCTGCTCACTTCACTCTGCATCAATTCATATAAGTCCTTCCATGTCTCTTTGAAATCACCTATTTTCTCATTTCTTATAGTACAATAATATTCAACCACATTAATATAACACAATTTGCTCAGCCATTTGCCACTTGATAGCTAGCCATCTCCTTAGTTGCCAAATTTTTGCCACCACAAAAAGGACCACTGTCAATATTTTTGTATATTTAAGACCTCTTTCTTTGATCTCTGTTGGATATAGGTCTAGTAGTGGTATGATTCGGTCAAAGGGCAATGCATTGTTTAGTAACTTTTGTTTACAATTCAAAATTGCTTTTGCATCTCACACACATCATTACAAATTGTAAGCATTCACTGGTCCGCCAACAGTACATTAATGTGCCTGTTTTCTCTCAGTCCCTCCAACATTTGTCATTTGTGTCATCCTTGCTCTCTGATGGGTGTGAATTGCTTTAATTTGGATTCTCTAATTATTTGTGATTTGGAATTTGCTATTCAGATCCTTAGGACCTTTTATTCCTATACATTTGGATCAGTTCCATATGTATCTTGGAAATGAGACCTTTATTAGAGAAACTTGCTGTAAATATTTCCCTCCAGTTAAATGTTTTCCTTTTACTCTTGGCTTTATTAGAGTTATTTGTAAAAAAAAATGTACAATCAAAATTATGCATTTTATCTTCCACAAGCCTTTCTTTCCACGTTTGGTCATGAACTTTTATTCTACCTATAGTTCACTGCACTTTGCATCAAGAGCTCTACAGTTATCCCTTCCACAACATGAATTTCCCTGGTGAGGTTTCAATATATTGATGGTCAGCATAAGAAATTAAATGGGAATTTTGGAGGAGTTTTGTGGAAGCCAAAGATGACATGTGAAGGTTAGCAAACAACACCAAGTCTATGACCAAATACTTTATCCTAACTTTACAATGAGGGATTGTAAACACCCCATAAAAGAAAAAAAAAATCTGACTTTTCTTGTAGGAAAGAAGGGCCAAAAAAAATTTATGAGGATTTTCCAGATCTCAGGGGACACTGCTCCCCCTACCCTTGCTACAGGGAAAGGATAGCTGTACTTTGTCTGAACTCCAAGAGAATACCATGCCCCACCCAGTATAAGCTGATCACCTGAAATCTCATGCTGATTGACTCAGTTTTTGATACCCAACACCTTCTCAGTTCCTCAGTGACCTCTCCCCCCTGATTAGAGGGCAGGAGGAGAGAGACTAAACTCTTCTCAAAACCTTCCTTTATAGAGGGCTGGTATCTGAGCTTTCCAAGTAAATCTCCACTTTTCCATCAGCAGCTCTACTTGGCTTAGACACCATGAAATGTCATATCCCTGTAATGTGTCCCCTTGTTCCCCCTTTAGCTTTCTTTTGTGTTATGTCTTTTTCCATCAGATTGTAAGCTCTTTGAGGATGATGTCTGCCTTTCTTTTTCTTATTTGTATCTTTAGTGCTTAGCACAGTACCTGGCACGTAGTAGATGCTTAATAAATGCTTACTGAATTGAATTGAAAGTTCTGTTAGATATTTTCCTTTTTTTTTCTACAGAGTTAAATTTAGTATAAAGCAATTCTATTTAATATCCCATCCAATAAGTGTAGTTGCTAAATTAAATAGCACAAAGACTTGCAAAGAGGTATCTCCTCATAAGATAGTCCCACACATGCATTCTGAGAATGGTTGGGATACAATAAAGTTGAATGTACCAAGTAAGCAGTATGTAAAAAAAAAAAAAACATTACCCATAAGTCATTGGAAGCACATGTGTGACATAAGGAAATAAAAAATACGATACTGTCAAAACATAAATAAGAGTTCTCAAATCCTGAATCTGCTATTTACTACTTGAATGACCTGAATAGGGAAATCACTTAACCTCTCTCAGCCTCAGTTTCCTCATTTTTAAATGAAAGGACTGAGCTAGATAACCACAAGATTTCTTACAGCTTTAAATCTATGATCCAATGATTTGAAAAGAAAAAAAAATGTAAAGGAACAATGTCATGATTTTTCAATGAAAGTATTTTCCAGATATGTTTCATTTACAATGACTCCTCCTCTCTTTGTTGGGAAATAGACCAGCCTTGCATATAATGGCACCTTCAAAACAAAATATATTTTAAATTTAGATGTAGACAATGAAAAACAACATTGATTAACAGATGCACCCAGATTTTCTACAAGCCAGATTTAAGAGGTCGGGGTTAGGGGAGAACAACCTATATTTGGATCAATAGGGTGGATCATAGAAAGAAAAAAAATCAGTGCAAGGATTTCAAAATACCACTTATTTGTGCTAATGAAGCAATGCTTATTTGATTTTCTATATCAATGACTACATGTTGTATATATGATAAGAGCCCACACTAAAAGTGACACAGTCAGCTGGCAAAGAGAATGCTGCTAGTTAAACTGTGCTTAGTTTGGAGCCTATGCCTGCTATTTTAGCTAATTAAAAAGCACGCATGTGAACTAGATTGTTTCTTACGTGATAAAGGCGCCAGATGTGCTTGGAAGCTAGAGGAGCCATTTACAATCTGTTTGAATTGATAGAGCTGCTGGCGCTGTCTTTTTAATTATGGACACGGTGGCTCAATTGACCAACTTGTTAGCAAGCCGATTCTTGTCAGCGGTGGGCTGGCAGAACATCAAAGAAACCTGTGTAAACAAGCAAACAACCTGCAAAATATGAGCACATATGATCCATAATGCTAAGGTCAATTTAGTCTCAGGTAACCTGTGTCTTAATTAGAGACCCAATAAGCAAACCAACAACATGATGCTTTGCATATAATCAACCTTTGTTGCTTCTATGCTAGGGCTCATGGGATTAGAGACCAAGAGACTTCAGTGTTGTTTCCATATTCTTCCCTGAACAATGAATGGATCGCTGTAGGATAAAAAAGAAAAAGAAAGAAAACAAATAAACAAAAATACAAAACAACTTTGAACAGCTGGCTGGAAGATCATGTCGATCTGTGGAGTTTTATTATTATAATTATTCTGAAGACAATTTATTTTATCTCCAAAAGAACAGATGTATTATGTATTATGTTAATTGCATGAATGCATCAGAGGTAGCAGTATCACAAGCACAAGTCAGAGATAATCTGGCAAAAATGGAGGTAGAGTAGAAGAAAATATTTCATAACCAGCAGGAACTTTGAAAAATAATCTAATGTAATCCATGAATTCTACAGATGAGATAGTTAATGTAAGCCTAGAAGGGAAAAATAACTTTCGAAGGGTAACAGAGCTTTGCTGCCTCCTATAGGTTTCCTAACACGCACATCCCCGTATACCACCACACCTTATTTCACTCATTCAATCATTTATTGCATTGAGGCTTCATAGTGCTTCAGGAATTTCGGAGACCTATGTGACTTATGCAGGAGTATGAATTAAAACCCCAATCAGCTCCAAACCACATATTCTTAGTGCCTACCTGTGGCAGTGATGGTGCTGAGTCAAATACACAATTTACGCAAGACACAGACACTAACTCACCCTAAAAAGCCATTACTAGCCTACAAAGTGGGGACTGAAGGTAACCATGCCATGATCTCAAGGGTATGTGATCAGCCAACTGGATGGTAGGAGGAAGGATAAAATTCTACTCTTCCTGCAAAAGTCAATATGGGCCTTATTGCCAATGCAAACACACCACCCCTTAAGGCCAGACTACCTTTGCCTTCTCCAGAGTCTAAACAGGGTAATTTCTTAGGCAGATTAAGATACACAAGTTCATAAGGACTGGGATATCATTGGCAAGGCCTCTATTATATTGTCAAAAAAAAAGGATTTCTATGAATATTTTGGTGTATACAAGACTTTTTGTTCTCTCTTTAAAGTTCTTGGCATATATGACTAGCAGTGAGATCTCTGGGTCAAAGGATATAGACATTTTAGTCACATTTCTAGCATAATTTCAACTTTTTTTCAAAAATTATTCTATCATTTCACAGGTCTATCTACAAGATATCATTGGATCTGTTGTTTTTTGTTTTTTTTCATAGATCTTTGACCACTTATCCTTTGAAGAAGGGCTCTTTGTCTTATACAGCTGTGGAAAATGATACGTTAAAAAATGAATCTAATAGATGGGGTCTATGTGTAGCACTGCATGGAAAGAAGGAATATAGATATATGTAAAAAGTTTATGTATCACAGCATGGATGTAGTTTAGAGTATTTGGGTGAAGATAAGTGGAGAGAGAAAAACATAAAATTCATGATTTTTGAAATGGATAGAAATGTTCAATTTGGTATTCATTCATGAAGTTTTACATTTATAGTCATTCCATATGTGCTGTTTCAACCCATATATGATATTCATAACTACTGAATGTCTTCAAAGATTTTCTGCTTTGATCAGTGACCCTTACAATCTTTAGTATAGTGATGTAAATACTGTAGATGCTTAATAAATTCTTGTTAAATGAATTAAAATAATACAAAATGAATTAAGTAAAGGAAGTAATTGCCTAATCTTTCAAAATCACCGAATGTCCAAGTCCTTCACTTTCCTTGATGACTTAACAACTTTATAGTTTGAGTTTTGTTGAGGCAAGCAATAAATAATAGATTCTTCAGAAATGTTAAATGTAGTTTCCAATATATAATGCAATTCATGAGATCATAAAATTTCAAAGATGGAAGGGGCCTTAAATGTCACCTCCTACTTCCCCCTAAGGAAACAGATACAGAGAAGTAAAGTGACTTCTCCAAGGTCACTGTGTTAAAATGTATCTTGTTCTGGTCCCCCAGAGCACCCCCACCCTTCTAGTCAGTAAAATAAGTTTATAAGTAGTCAGTATAAAGTAAAGATAGCAAAAAGTAAAATTGTAAATGAAAATCTAGAAGTCATGTATAGACTGTCCCAAAGATCAAAAGAGCATAGTTTGTAAATTATCACATGTTAACAAAAATCACATCCTGAGGCTATGTGCTAAACCAG